TCGTCGTCGTCGTCGTTGTTGTCGTCGTCGTCGTTCCGTAGGCCTCGTGCAACCGATCGATCGTGGCGATTCCCTGGCTCGTCCAGCACGCGATCTCGTCCTTGCTTTTCACGAGGATGCACCATTGGCTAATGGGAAAATCGATTCGCTCGTAACTCGCCGTTTATTGACAGCGTGGTGTTAGCACGCTCGAAATGAGCCGCAATGTTATCTTCCGTCCGTCCTTTTCAAATATATCTCTCGCTTAATTTCACGTGTTACGAGAAACACACCCTCGGCATTTTAATGCTGTTGGAACAGAGGGACGATACGATGGGTGAACGAGTAAACGCGCGACGAGCGCGTTCGAAGTTTGCGCGAGGAAAAGAGCAGGAAGATGAAATAATTCTCTTACAGACTAATTTAACTCGTCGACCTACAAATTTTGTACTACACTTATCGGTAGTCATCGTTCTTTTTTTTTACGCGAAAGATAATCCACAGGGAAAATAATTTTCTACGATTTCTTATGTAAGGATAACGACGCATATAGAATAAGTATGATCGACGTTACGAAGTACGAAAAATGAAACGATCCAGCGAACCGACTACGGTAAAATACGCCGGAAACGTTGCGTTAGCTAGAGACTTATCGAGCGATACGGTGGATACGTATATTTCTACACGAAGAACAAGAGCACATATCGAAAACTATGAGAAATGTAAAATTCATCGTAATCAGGATTGATTGAGAGAATGAGTTTGAAATTGGATCGTATAGGGACGGTCGATCGTCGGTCTCCGTTCTCGAGCGCGCACGATGCGTAAAGACTCTTATTTTAGGTTAATAGATAGTACATGGATTTCGTGCATAGACCCAGAGGGATCGCTTCCATGGATTTCTGCCAGCTATCGTGAGTCGTACGCGTGCGTGTTCGTACGTACACGTACGAGGAGGCTACGTACTCGCCCGCGTGAAATCCACGCGTTTGTATGTTTGTATGGTGTATATAATCTAAGCGGATCGTGCTATACGTCAAGGAAAATTTCATAGTTGACAGATGCTCGCCTACGTCACGACTTTGAAA